CAACGTAAGATGATGCATATTGGGGCTGGAGGGGGAGAAATTCCAATTTCACGCTTAATATGGAAAGGTGTGAGGTGACTTATTACAGCCCGAAAATGAGAGCTTGTGTTTATAAGAGTTCCTTGGAAATGTCACTGTAATCTCAGCAGCAGACAAAAAGCAACTACTCCGTGTTTTAGGGAAGGAGAACAAACCAGGCCAGGTTCTTGTGGCAGTGCGTGGAGCCAAGGGGTGCATCCTGCCCTTCTACGCTCTCAGCTTCAAGAAAGATGCAGTAAAAATCAGGAGTGCGTGGGGTAAGCTGATGAAGATGATGACATTGATGCCTGAAAAGGCAAAACTGGAAGAAAGGAACTGCTTTCTGCTGGCTGGTGCACGGTCCTGGTCGTTGACAGAGATGATCTGGGAGGTTCTGGTTTTCTGAACACCACAGGACCAGTCAAAGCTGTCCCTACCAGTTTCTCTTGAAACGATGAGGACGCATAAAGTCAAAAATACTGGTTCATCACTTTGGGGAAAAAAAAAAAGCATTTGGCTTTCTTGTGCAGCTTTGGGCAGTCGGTTCACTGCTGTAAGTTCTCCAAGTTCAGGCCCTTTACATCTCCTGTTCCAGTTCTCACCAGTCTAAAGCATTTTCCCCTTAGTTCCATCAGGCATCTTTAGACTTAAAAGTATTTCATGCCATCATGAAAGGACAGGCTTCCCATTCTGCATGTGTTTGATAAACATTTTCGTTTTGTTTTGGGAATGGATTTGTCACCAGATTCATCAGTGAAAGAAGAAAACCCAGCTTTCCGTGTGCCAAGCAGACTTTTCCAGTGGCACTGTTCGGAAACGCGTGACAGAGGCACAGACTGGTGGCTGAAATAATTTCTCTTTAGGTAGAGATTTGTAGCTCCCAGAAGAATAAAATAATCTGTATGAGTTTTCTAAGTTCCTTCAAAAATCTCAGTCTCTATGCAAGGAAAAGATCATTCTTTCATTTAAGCTCCAAAAAGTATTCTCTGCAGACAGTATGAAAGTGGTTATTAATTTTTAATCTGTCAATTGAGCAGTAATCTTGTCTAGCAAGTCCTTGGTTAATTTTAAAACAGAATTTGAAGGTGGTTTCTGTAAATCTCTTGAAATCTTACCCTTAACCCAAATAGGTTATTTGAAAGCAAAACCCGTTTGCTGTCCCTTACGCATGTTCCTGATGCATGGCAAGGAGAGGATCGGTTTCTCCTTTCTATACACAACCAGTAAATACTGCAAATTACCAGTAAATTGTTTATTTTGCTTATTTCTCAGGATTGATACTCAATGGGCCCTGTCCCCTATGAATGATTTTCGTCTTCAAAAGCGAAATCTGGCATTAATAGTGTCAGTAAAAAGTCCATCACTAAAATAATTTGTTCTCTGGTGGACAGATCACAAGATCTTTGTATGATACGCCATCGAGCTCCGACCATTTACTTTGACAAACTGGTGTCGGGTTTGGAAATTTCAGCTATGGAAATTTATCCCTTGCCTCTTTCACAGTCATTGATCCATGCTTGGACCAGCTTGTTTTTTTCACTCTACTGAGCTTAAGATGCCTCTGTCATGACTTCTTTAAGGGTTGTTTTGTTTGGGTGTTTTTGCAAGTATTTTTGCCTCCTTTCATTAGTGCTGGTGTCCCAGTCAGTGTCTGAGACTTCCTTCTTTTCTTAACAACAGGGTTTGTTGGTTTTTTTTTTGAAGCCTATGTAGCTATTCTTCAGCATTTCCACCTTTCATACTGCAAACGTTATCCGGCGTAACCTTCGAGATAATTTTATTTTTTGAGATCAAGAGTTCATGTTGCTTGGACTTCCTGAGCCAAAGTGACATCCTCTGTTAAATTTTTAGCTGGAAGAGGTGTCTTTTGTCTCCTGTCTCTCAAAAGCTTCTGTGTGTACAACTGCTCCCAATAGTAGGGACGTTGTATCGTTTCCTCTCTGAAAACCTCAGCTGGTGCAGTCAGCTGCCTTAGTCTCTTGTGTCCGACAGGGTTTCTGGTCTCAGTGGTGTGTTCTTAGTTACTTCTGCATTAATTCATGAATCTGGTGAAATCCACCCCTTTACAGTGGTGGATCTTGCTGAAATTTTATCTTAGGATGAATTTTATCTTATGGATATAGAAACATTGTATGTCGTGGTGTATTCTGTTCTAGTCCTTTGTAACTTCCATAGTTTTCTTGGGTTTCCTCAGAATTAAATAGTCTGTAACAAAATCTGTGCCTTCCCCCTAGATGTATAGCAAATTGGGACAGTGAAATATTCCATTGGGACAGTGAAATATTCCATGATTAACGTTCTGCCATGAGGAAATGAGTTATTCTTCTTCTGGACTCAGCCAGCTTTGATCTATGCTGGTACTTGAGAGTTGATCTATACTACACTTGGAGATTTTTACAAAGCTGAAATATCAATGATCATTTCATGCTCCTTCATGAAATATTTATTTGATGCATCCAAAGGTCTCAGAAGCCCAGTTTCCCTCATGTGGAAGCAAGTTGGTTAGATCTGCTGTGTCGTGGTCGCCTTGTTGTTTAGACATCCATCTGTTACCAAACTCACCCAGAGCCCACTGGTCAGGAATTCTTTAGGTTTGTCCTCTAGTGCCTTCTAAAACTATAGGTCTGTGTTTTCCCAGGTAGGGTTTTTAAGAACTTAAAGGTGGACTAGGAAGTTGTGAGTTAGAGCAGGACACTTCATGGATGCCTTGAATGTCCCATTCTGACTGGAGAAAGCCATAAGTAGCTCGATCTGATCCCATACCTGATCCTGCTTTGAGCAGGAGGTTGAACTAGTGACATCCTGAGGTCCCTTCCCACCTGAACAACGCTGTGATTCTTGATTCTGCGACCTTAAGTTGATGAACAATTTTATATAAAAAAGTTTTAGGCTGATTCTGGGTAAGGTTAGTAAGAAGTCGTAGAGGGGCTTCTATGCTGCCCATGATCAGGCTTTTGTTGCGTTTGTCCTGCTGTAGTTGTCTTGCTGGTCAAAAGAGGATCCCTTCACCTGAGTTATCTTGAGGTTCTAATAGTATCAATTGGTCAGTCTGAGAAGTGCTTTGTGAACACTGCGGAATTGGTGAACGCCAATGAAATGGCTTTTTTCTCTTGTAGTACAGTGTTTGCACCCTCCCCTTCCTGCGTTACCGGTTCATGGCACTGAAAGAAGCGATACGGCGTCGTTGCCTCATCAGATGCCACAGTCTTTTAGTGCAGGTACCAAAAGCAACCCGCCTGCGTTACCGGTTCATGGCACTGAAAGAAGTGATATGGCGTCGTTGCCTCATCAGGTGCCACAGTCTTTAGTGCAGATACCAAAAGCAACCCATGAGCTGACTTTGAGCAGTAGGAGATCTAAGGAAGGAATTCTTCCCTCTGAGGATGGTGAGGCACTGGAGCAGGTTGCCCAGAGAAGCTGTGGCTGCCCCATCCCTGGAAGTGTTCAAGGCCAGGTTGGTTGGGGCTTTGGGCAACCTGGTGTGGTGGAGGGTGTCCCTGCCCATGGCAGGGGGTTGGAACTGGATGGTCTTTGAGGTCCCTTCCAACCCAACCCGTTCTATGATTCTGTGACCTCTGACATCTTGAGAGGGACATCTGTGCCTAGGTTGGTGTCGGTTTAACGCAGCAGTGCTGCTCAGCTGCTGGGCCTGTGCGTATATCTTTGCTGAGACTCAAATTTATTGTTTGGGAATGAGTCAACGGAGCCATGGGAAGGCCTGGAGGGAGTTTACGTTCGAAGGAATTACAGCTGTGTAGGTTGGACAGGGATGTCTTGATGGTTGTATGGAGACAGGGACTTCATTTTGCATGTCTCAGCTGGCAGTTTAGGTGCAGTTGGAAGGATTTGGGATTGCCCGATGCCGACTTCCACTAAATCCTGAACTTTGTAAGAGAAGAGAGCTGCTTCTGCGTGAGGTAGGGCTGGTAAGGTGACTGGCTGCTCCCCACTTTCTAGCCAGCATCTCCTTGTTCTCTGCTGTGCTCCATGAGGATGGTGACTCTCTGATTAAAATAAGACAACTGCAGTCTAGTAAATCGTAGTGAAAACTTTACTTGCCCTGATAGAATCCATTTCTTAAAGGGTAAGAACTGGTCTGTTAGTCACATTAGGATAGTTTCTCCTCTTAGAGAGCATTTCTTAAACTTGTGGAGATCCTGATTTAAGTCCTATATGTGTTTTTTTAGGTTTTCATTTATATTAACAATATTTTAATGCTATTTTTAAGATGCAATATTAAAAGAAAATATGTAGGATGTAGCATGGCGGCTGCTTTAGGACAGGTTTGTTCCTGACTGTTCTTGTATCTGAGGCAGTGTCTTTTGGAATCTGATTTCTTCCTGTTATTTGCTTTGATCTGTTTAGGTAACTATTAATATTTGATTTTATTTTTTTTTTTCAAACTGCATTCGCTTTGCAGTTTGGTAGCTGCTGAATTTCTGCTGTATACTGAGAAGCAAGGAATTTGAAAAGTTTTGGCAAATCAGTAAAAGCTTAGTGGCTCATGTGCACAACTAATACTCGTGGGACAGCAAGACCTCTTGGTTTTTAAGTATATTTTGCTTACTAAGTGATGGAAGCATCTATTAAAAAGAGTTGAGAACGTTTTGTGGAGAAAAATATTAATTTTATACTGCTTTGTTCATTATACTTTCTAAAGAGCAAAACTTCTGGCCTTTCTTTTGGTAGAGGCTGTATAACAATATATCTTTGTCAAGCAGGTGTTACTAATAAATCTATTATGCCTTTTCCAAAATGTTTAGTCATAATTGAATGTGCCAGTGTAAATAAATCCCTTTTATGCTTCAGATATTGGTACATATATTTTTTCTTTTGGTTGGCATCTTCTATGTTAGCCAGTATTTTGCACCAATTCCTTATGCTTAAATGTGTTCCTTAAGCTTAAGTTTCTTCCGTGTCTGTGTGTATATTTAAGGAAAAAAAAAGTCATGTAACTGAATCCTATTTTTTCCATCTCTTAGATGATGAAGCATGCCTGGGACAATTATAGGCAATATGGATGGGGACATAATGAGCTGAAACCAATTGCCCGAAAAGGACATTCCACCAACATATTTGGTAGGCTGTATTTTCTGTTTTATTTTTTTTTAAATATTTCTGTCCATGCTATCCTCTTTGACAGTCTACCCAAACTTCCTAGCAAATTCTGTTTTAATATAATTTTTTTGGAGTGTGGATGGCAGAAGTGTGTCAGTTATTTCAATGGTACTCCAGTGAATTACTTCAGTAAACTATCTTTTTGGGAGTAGTATGTTCTTATTGTTGCAAAGGTAAGCTTTATGCACGCTGCTCCTTTGTGTACAGTGTGTATATGTATGTAAAAAACCCTAACTTACAATGCAATGATGATATTTTGGGATGCAATTAATATAATTTTTTTTATTAAAAAAAAAAAACAACCTCATCTTGTCTAGATCTTTGTGTTTAATTCCGTGAGAATGTGATACAAGCCAAAATGCACATGGGAAATGCTGAAAAACTGCTAGTACCAAGGTGAAATTTAAAGTAGCTTTTAAAAAAAGATCTGGGTAAGATCTGTACTGGTAAAAAAAGTGATGTTGTTACTTGATCTGTGACTTATGGATCCTGAACCAATAGGCTTGAATCAAAGAACAAAACAACATTTAAAATACAGAAGTTTGAGAGTGGGGACAAGGTTTGAAGAAATTCAAGGGATGGAGTAAGAATATTTGAGCACTGGAGTGTGAAGATGAGTATTACAAATGGCATTTAGAATGGTATCAGACACGAGGAAGGCAAAGATCAGGAAATTGAATAGCCTTGTGTTGGGTACGTGTGATCACACTAGATGGCTTTTCTTCCTTAAAACAGCAGTGACCTGCAGCAGTACTGCTTTTTTGGTGTAAATGCACTGGGACAGAGTCAGTAGAATAGTGATTGGAAGGGGACAAGCATTTTCTTGGTTCTTGAACCAGGAAAGAATCCATTTTTTGTCCCCAGTTCTGTAGGATGGACTGGTTCAGAAAACCTGGTTGTAACTGTTGGGGACTGATCCCTGGAGGTTCTCTAGGTTCATGCTCTGGTGTAGCAAAACATGTAACCGTGATGTTAGTGGTTAAGGTTGAGCCTGGATTGGTCTCGAATGCACAGTACCTGGCTGAGCCAGGAAGTTGATGCATTTATTGAAGCTCGTGCATTTATTTTGAAACGCACACGAGAGAGCTGCTCTGAGACTGGGTAGAGTTTTCTGAACTTTGTTTGGGGTTTCATCCTGTCTTCATCCACCCTCTGGAATCTGAGGAAGCTGCAAACCTAAAACCACTTTTTACATCAAGAATGAGTGTGAATGTACTCTGTGTACCTTAAATATCTTAGTGTGGGTTCTAATAGTTTGCTTGAAATGAAGATTTGCTTGGCTTTAATTGTAAGACAGTTGGCTAATGACTTTGAGGTTGGGTCTCATTGTAGTTGCTATTTGTTTCGTTTATCTTGCTTTAAACCTTGCAATTGTTTCTTGTGGATGATAGAAATACAGGTGAGGATTGTGTAATTGTCTTGTTTTCTGTGCTTAGTGCCTGAACCCAGAATAAACGATTTTGATTTAAATCAAAATTTGGTTAGCTTTTTGTTTTCATTCTTAGAGGAAAAAGTAAACTCCCAGAGGAAGCTTATTCCAAAAGAGGAGTCAAAGTGTTATCCAACAATGAAGGAGTTAAATTTTGTGAAAGAATTGAATGAAGGGTTTATTAGGCTGTTTGCAAATATCTAAAGACCCAAGGTCTGAGAACAGGATGAACCAGCCTTGGAGTTCCAAAGAGCGATTCATTGAAAAACTCCCTGTCAAGAGTTGGCCATCCTTGACAGGGGAACATCCCAGAAGATGTATAAACTTTGTTTCCGTGTTTTGGATTGTCAGTATGTGCAGCAGGAACTGGGGGAAAGGAAGTTCCAGCAGGAGGAGATCAGGACCACCGACTCATGGACCACCTACCCTAAATGTAACCCAGACCCAAACAAAAGGGGCAGAAGCGATGGACTGAGCATGAGATTTTGATGAGATCTCAGGAAGAAATTCTTCCCTCTGAGGGTGGTGAGGCACTGGCACAGGTTGCCCAGAGAAGCTGTGGCTGCCCCATCCCTGGAAGTGTTCCAGGTCAGGTTGGATGGGGCTTTGGGCAACCTGCTGTGGTGGAGGGTGTCCCTGCCTGTGGGACAGGGGGTTGGAACTGGATGGTCTTTGATCATCCAACCCAAACCATTCCATGATTCTATTATCATGTACATGGAATGTGTATTTTGTGGCCAGTAACATAAAAGATAAAATTTTGGAAAGATAAAATTTTAAGAACCAACATAATTCTCAAGAGTTGTTGACCAAATTTGGAATTAGAGCAGTGTTCTGATAACACAAGAGAAGTTTCTTCAGGTCAGACAAAAGACAAAACATGATTGTTAGTTACTCAGCCTCCAAAAATTGCTCATGGCAGGTACCTGGGCAAGAAATGTAAGAGCTGGGAAAGGCTGTGGTCAGTGTTTCTCAGTGGTTCTGAGTTTCATTCCATATCACATATAACCTTTTCAGTTTTGAAGACTGCTTGGTGGCCCAGGTGACTAGTTTTGGTATTGGAAAAAAAAATCAATCCATTATTCATCTCTTCTTTGCCATTCATGAGTTTGTAGAACTGCGTATGCCCTCACTTGTGTTCCTGTCTCACATGGAGGGTCTTGGTCTAAGTCATTTCTCATACATATGGTTTTTCTCATACCTTATACATTGTTACCTCTTTTCTTTATATCTTTTCAATGAAATTCCTTGTTTGTTTTGTTGTTTATTTTTTCTTTGAGAGGAAGACTAAAACTCTGTGTTTGATTTGTTCACTGTTCCCTTCCTAATAATTATATTTTGCATCTTTTAGGCTCCTTATGGAGTCTAGAAACTCACTATAGGATGACTTTTTTTCTGCAGTAGCATGCCTTTTCAAAATCCTCTTCCACCGTATATGGTATTTCTGAACTATTTATAAATATGATGATTTAGAAATATTTCCAAATTATTTCATAAATAAGCATGTGCCCAACGTTCATCTTTGGAGGATCCTGCTGGTGGTTTTCCCTCCCAGTGCCAATTGGTTGTTTGCACTTATCCGGTGTCTTATCTTTTAAACAATTATTCATCTGTGCGAGAGCATTTTTCTCTTACCCTGTGCCAGGTTAGTTTTCTTAAGAGCCTTTGTTAAGGGATGTTCTCACATACCTTCTGTATATGTGCTCTGTCCATATACAAGTTTGCTTCTTAAAAAGACTGTAACAATTGTTCTCACTGGCTTTTTTATATGTTTCTGAACTGATGATGTTAAATCCTCTGGCATTACTCAGAAGAATGAAAGTTTTGCCTTTAAAAAAACGCTATAATGAGATGCACAGATGCAAAGTGGAATTAGATAAACATGTGTCACTTCTGTAATTTGCCTTATAGACTAGTGAGGTAAACATCTACATCAAAGGGTAACCAAGAAATTAAGTCATTAGGGTTCAGGGCTCAGGCTCAACTTGAGAGTTTTTATTTTCTCTGATAGCATCCTCTCCTGTTTTTTCTCTTGTAAACCAGATGGTTTGCTCTGAGGGGGGGAAAAAAAAAAAAATGTTGGTTTCCTGTTGGGAATATTTGGACTTAAGTTTGTTTTGATTTGGGAATTATTTAGGTTGTGAGAATTCTATTCCTGAATTTAAATTTGTGTCCTGTCATTTGGAATTAAGAACAGGGGGTGTAGTAAGGCAATGAAATAAAGGCTATGCAGTCTTTTTTGGACTATGTTAAAATATGAAGTAAATAGACATGCCAGCTAAGTAAGGATTAGCTCTGAAATATGGCAGGTACAACTCCGTGGGCACACGTACCACGTGGGAGGCAGACACAAGCTTTGCCGTTGGTTGGACCACGCTCTGCTCGTCCCCAGCACCCCGATATTGTTCGCTCCAGTTTTGCACCGGTTGGATGGAGTTTTGTGGCTGCAGCAATGAAATCAGCTCCTCTTCATAGAATCATAGAATGGTTAGGGCTGGAAGGGACCTTCAAAGGTCATCTAGTCCAACCCCCCTGCAAGGAACAGGGATATCTCCAACTAGATCAGGTTGCTCAGGGCCTCGTCCAACCTGGCCTTGAACGTCTCCAGGGAGGGAGCATCCACCACCTCTTTGGGCAACCTGT